GCCAGGATGGTCTCGATCTCCTGACCTCATCATCTGCCCGCCTCGGCCTCCCAAAGTGCTGGGATTACAGGCGTGAGCCGCCACGCCGGGCCAAGGTCACCTTTAAGTCATTACCCAATGCTCAGTCTTCATTCACTCAGAAATACAGAAGAAAGACATGCACCAGGGAAAATCAGCAGGTGTCATCTGTTAGAAAATATTTTTAAGCATAACTGGAAGCATTATTTTTAATGAGTATAATTATGCGTCAGTGTTTATGTGATGTCTTCTGAATGGGCCCAAGATGACTGCGTGTTCAAAAGAACATGCTTGTTCGACCAGGGTGAGTGCTAATTGTGGCTGACATTTTCTTCCAGGGAAACGGGTGCATCTTCCAGGCAGAAGCCCGTGCAGGTCTGGCATTGATTTTCACCAGATTTTGTTATTACATTTGTCTCACAGCTTTAAAATAGTAGCAAATATGTGCAATTTATTTAAACAACACTAGGGAAATTAACGTCATTGCAAGCTCATCCTAAGCAAATGAAAATGAAGGATTTTTTTTAAAACGGCTGTATGAAAACCCTTTAAAACTCAGAGTTAGAGATTCAGAGGGCCCTGGTGAGCCGCTACCAGTTCTGAAGCAGCACCAGGTGGGAGAGACCAGCCAGTCTCCGCCTCGGTCTCCCGCTGGGAGATGTGGGGAGCTGCAGACGGCCAGAAGGCCCCTCCTAGCAGCTATGCCAGAGCTCCCCTCGCCCTCATCTGGGAGCGATCTGTCCAGGCTCTCCTCCCTCATGCAGACCTGCTCAGGAACAAAAATAATGCTCCACCACCCTTCTCCAGAGGTGGACCCCTGGTTGCCTTTGGGCTGGGAGACCCCCTGTTCTCTACCTGCAGCACATCTCAGGTGTGGTTGGCGGCCCCACCCCAGAGTTGTCTTAGATGAGACCTAGGAACCTGCATTCCTAATGAGCTCCCCAGGGTGCTGAGCTGCTGCTCCTGGGACCAGCCTGGGACCTCAGACCTGTTTCTCCCCAGCCTGGGATTTACAGAGCACAGCCCGGGTGGGTGCAGGAAACATCACTCAGACCCCCTTTTCCCCTGGTTCCCTATCTTTTCCATGGGAAGATCGATTTCTGCCCAGTCCGGGACCTTCCTGAGGTCCGGCAAATGGGATTTGACTTCACAAGCAGAGACCACAGAAGGGAGGGGTGGCACTTCCAGGTGCTCTGGCCTTGGGGTCACACTCTTGGCATCTGAATCCCGCCTCAGCTGAACGGGCTGCGTGGGCTTCACGAGTGCCTTTGGCCTTGCATGGTAGGAAAGTGGGAATGACGGTGCTCCCCGCTGAAGTGGTGAGAGGGAGGATTCAGGGGGAGACTCCATGGAACAGCATTAGACCTGGAGCCTGGAACCTGAGTGCACACCACAGCTGCTATCATTGTTCGTGTTGGCTGTGTTGACGTCATTTCAAGCCACTTTGAGCAGTGGGATTAATCTGGTCTTTCTCATCAAAGCTTAGAGCTTATTAACCTAAATTGTTGTATCCGCAAGGTAAAGACCAGGCTCCCAGGGAGGTGCCATCTGTCTGGGGCTTGGTCTTGGAGGACAAGTGAGATATCTTCAGTGGAAGGGCCAGATGCAGAGTCCTGCTCTCATGCTCATCGGACATTCAGTACCTGTGAGGCAGCGGCTACTGGTCTGGGCGAGGAAACCATGGAGTCCAGTTGTCTGTGCTCTGGGTTCCGGGGAAAATGTGCAATTAGGACTGTCCTTGAAGTTCTTCAAAGTCCCCTGAGGAGCCTAGAAAAGCCCCCGCCCCCTGTCATCATGAGGGGCTGGAGTCGAGGCCCCTGGGTCTCCATGTTTGCACCTCACATGGCTCCTTTCTAAGGAAGGCTGGGAGCGCCCCCATGGAAGCCTCCTGGGTTTTATTAATAGAGGCAAACGGTGGTGGGGACCCCCACCGTGCCTGGCGGGGCAGCCTGTGGTCAGACACCTCCCAACCAGCTTTGTCCTCCCTGCCTTGGGCTGCCCTGGTGCAAGGTCTATTCTCTGCCGTGTGAACTCTCATATCCTAGTGCCTCTGCAGTTCAGATGAAATGAGCATCAGCCACAAAGACTGTGGCAAGGCATGCCTTGTGGGCAACCTGCACTGGACCCGACGCTGCAGACGCATGGACGCCACATGTATGCGTGAAGTTCTGTTGGCACTGTCAGCCATGGGAGTCACGTGCACCGTCATGTTTAGAAAACACAGAAAGGTAAAAGGAAGGAAGTAAATACAATAACAGAGCTCCGTGGTGACCAGAGAAAACCAGTGTGTGCATTTTCATGTATTTTCTTACATTTTTTTTCTTTTCTTTTTTTTTTTTTTTTTTTTTTGAGACAGAGTTTCGCTTTTTTTCCCTAGGCTGGAATGCAATGGCACAATCTCGGCTCCCTGCAACCTCCGCCTCCCATGTTCAAGTGATTCTCCTGTGTCAGCCTCCCAAGTAACTGGGATTACAGGCACACACCACCACACCTGGCTAATTTTATATTTTTAGTAGAGATGCGGTTTCACCACGTTGGCCAGGCTGGTCTTGAACTCCTGACCTCGGGTGATCTGGCTGCCTCGGCCTCCCAAAGTGCTGGGATTACAGGTGTGAGCCACTGCACCCAGCTTCTTTTTCTATCCTTTAAAAAAACGTAGTTGAAGCTGGGCGTGGTGGCTCACGCCTGTAATCCCACAGCACTTTGGAAGGCCAACACGGGCGGATTACCGGAGGTCTGGAGTTTGAGACCAGCATGGCCAACGTGGCAAAACCCCATCCCTATTAAAAATACAAAAATTAGCCAGATGTGGTGTCTGGCTCCTGTAATCCTAGCTACTCGAGAGGCTGAGGCAGGAGAGTCACTTAAACCCGGGAGGCAGAGGTTGCAGTGAGCCAAGATCGTGCCACTGCACTCCAGCCTGGGTGACCCAGTGAGACTCCATCTCAAAAAAAAATAAGAAAGAAAAAAGAAAAAGTGAAGAAAAAATGCAGTTGTGGTTGATGCTGTACATATGGTTTGGTGCTGTTTCTCCACTTACTAATATTTTATGGACATTTCTTCATGTCAGTCTTAAAAGAGTAACTTTTAATGGCTATAATATTCCAAGACATGAACACAGTGTAATGCATTTGGAATTCACTGACAGACATTCAGATTTGTGCTCTGGTATTTTTACTTGTTCAAAAACATCCCCAGTAAACATCTGTCTACAAGGACTTTGGTCCACCTAGAGTTTCCTGGGGACAGATTTCCAGCTGTGGAGTTATTGGGTCAAAAGGGACCTTCCTTTTTGAGGCTCTTGATAGTCACTGGCCACCGGGAGGCAGAGGGCTGTGCTGAGTGACCGCGGGACCCCAGCAGCAGGAGCTGCGTCAGTGTCCGTCCTGACAGCCTGAGCCCTGTGCTAAGCATGGGCTGGGCATTTTCTCATTGTCATCTGATGTCATTCCCACAGTAGTCCCTAAACTCAGGGCCATTGCTACCATCTCCCTTCCGTAAGAGAAGATCCCAGGATTGTGAGAAATGAAGGGACTTGGTCCCCACGTCACATGAGCTTCGACACATCCACACAGGTGTGGGTCTAAGGCCAAATCCCACACCCTCAGCCATCAGCCTCCACCCACTGACTCACTGCACACCCCCAGTGTTGCAGATTCATTTCGCTCAGCCTTGTCAATCTGACAGGTAAAAAGGATGTATTACTTTGATATGCGTTATTTGATTACTGGGAGATGTGGACAGTTGTCATAAGTTTATTGATCATTTATATTTGTTTTGCTGTGAATTATCTATTCATGTCCTTTTCTTGTTCGGAAACAAGATTCCATTTTATTTTCTTCCTGCTTTCTAAGAGTGCTTTATGTAGTGACTATGAACCTCATGTCAAACTGTTGTAAATCATGTTTTCCAAATGTGTCAGTTGCCTCTTGGGTCTGTTTTCATGAACAGGAGTTTTGTGGGGAAACATATTAGTCTTTTCTTTTGTCATCTCTTGCGTTGTTTTGGGTGGGCATCAAAAGCCCTGTCTACACTATTGGTGACATTGTCAACTATATTTTCTTCTTCTTTTATGGTTTCTTTTTCCTGCATTTAATTTTGTAATCTGTCTCGTCATATTGATGGGGGTCTTACTTGATTTTTTTTCCCTAACACTTAGTTCCTTTTCCAGTGTTATCCCGCCCTTCCCACTTAGCTCCTTGTCCCAGGGTTACCCGCCTTCCCGCTTAACTCCTTTTCCCACTTAGCTCCTTGTCCCAGCCTTACCCGCCTTCCCTCTCAGTCCCGGGCAGTACAGATCATCTTAGCAAACACCCTTTTCCTCTGTGCAAAACCTAACTGGACTTCTTTGTTTCTTCTCTCCCTTTTCCAAATAAAGCCACAGAAGGGAAAGAAGATCGTGGCTCTGGACCCCTCTCCGCCTCCGAAGGACACCCTGCTGCCGTGGCCCCGGCACCAGAACGCCGACGGGCTGAGGCGGCGCAAACGGGACTGGGTCATCCCGCCCATCAACGTGCCCGAGAACTCGCGCGGGCCCTTCCCGCAGCAGCTCGTGAGGGTGAGTGCAGACCCCTCCCGTTGGCGCGGGGGTCTCGGTGTTAGCATGACGCTCTTCTCCCGGCATCCCAAAGCCAGGGGCGGTTCTGCATTTGGTGTCTAAGAAGGTCGCGATTTCACAACCTTTCTGTAATGAGATTAGCCTTACACAGGGCAATGAAAAATTTAGATGGGGAAGCTGCGTCCTAGGTGGATGGGACTTTGTGAGTCAGGGGTGATTTCTCTCTTGGTTACTTTCAAATGGCTACTATGTGTGTGGAAGCAGTGGGGTGTGGATCGTGGCCTTTGACCTCTGACCCCTTTCTTTGGTCTGATCACATTTGTTTCCATGGATGACTAAGATCCCGGATGATGGGATGGGGGCGTGTCTGCCATGACGATCACTGCGCCCAGGCCAGCGTGGGCCGTGCCATGGCCCGTCTGCAAGGTCTTGGTCCCCGAGTTCCCAAGGCCACCGGAGATTGCTTTTACCGCAGAAAGAATTTATTTTACAAATTTGTGTCTCTATAATCAAGGCTATCAACGAGCAATTTCTGCTTCCCTTTGAAGAAAATTGCAGCCTAATCTGAGCAATAATTTGATAAAAGGATGGTGAGAATTCTATTAAATAATTCCCAACCGTTGCGGAAAAGGCTCACACCACCCTTTGGAAATGAGGGTCCCCAGAGTGTGCTTAAGGGGCCATTCTCAGTCTTCGTGCTGTTTAGTGTTTTCTCATTCCTTTCAATGCAGAAGGCTGGGCTGTGCGTTTGGAATGCGGAGATGGGAGGAAGAAAGCAGCCACCAGGCATGGTCCCCCCAATTCTTTGTATCCCTAACCTTGGCCACCAGGGGACCCCGCCAGGGAGCAGTCAAAATGACTGGTTATTTATAGCAGAAACTCTGGTGTGAGTGAATGCAGTGTGCCTCCATACCCCAGCCAAGGTATCACCTGATTGCAAACATATCACCTGCCCTCTCTGCACAGAGCCAGCCCTCCCACCTCAGTACCCAGCCTCTGCTGCATCCTCCCCTTTCGGGGCTCAGCTCTCCTTGGCCACCCATACCCCTTGAGGGCCAGGCTGGAGATTTTCATGTGAAATGCAGTTCAGAGCTTGAAGGAAGCCACCAGGAGTTGGAACCCCATCCTGGGGGAGCTTCCCAGGCCCACATTTCCTGGGCCCACTGGGCAACCTCCCGCCCACCACGGACGCCAGAGACGATGCCAATGGCAGTGCCGTGGCCCCCATGCTGCACCCACCTCGCCATCCTCAGGGCTGGGATTTGCTGCCTCCGGCCATTGCTTGTGTTATCGTTGACTTAAAATTCTTCTCAAAGCAATTCAATTTTTTTTCAACTTTTATTTTAAGTTTGGGGGCACATGTATAGGATATGCAGGTTGGTTACCTAGGTAAACGTGTGCTATGGTGGTTTGCTGCCCCTGTCAACCCATCACCTAGGTATTAAGCCCAGCATCCTTTAGCTATTCTTCCTGATACTCTCCTTATGCCCCTCCCCTCCCACAGGCCCCAGTGTGGGTTGTTCCCCTCCCTGTGTCCGTGTGTTCACATCATTCAGCTCCCACTTAGAAGTGAGAACATGTGTTATTTGGGTTTCTGTTCCCACTTTAGTTTGCTGAGGATGATGGCTTCCAACTCCATCCATGTCCCTGCAAAGGACATGATCTCGTTCCTTTCTATGGCACATATAGCATTCCATAGTGTGTATGTGCCACATTTGCTTTATCCGGTCTACCATTGATGGGCATTTGGGTTGAGTCCACGTCTTTGCTGTTGTGAATAGTGCTGCAGTGAACATACACATGCGTGTGTCTTTGTAAGAGAATGACTTCTATTCCTTTGGGTGTATACTCAGCAATGGGATTATGGGTCAAATGGGAGTTCTGCCTCTAGGCCTTTGAGGAATTGCCACACTGTTCATCCCCAAAGGAGATTGTATACCAAACCACAGTTTGATCACTGGGATCGTTTGTCAGGCTAGAAGCTGACTGTAGAGAAAAGCATAAGGCGAGAGAACAGAGGCTGCCCTTGATTTGTTTCCCAGGCCAGTGGGGCAGGGGCTTCAGGGTGTGCTGGAGGCGTGAGGACCAACCACAGATTCCTCTTTGAAGGTCGTCAGGATTGAAGGCCCCCGAGAGAGGGAGTGGGTTTCTGTTGTGCTCTGCAGGCTTCTGTAATGCCTTGTGCTTCTGCCGCCCCCACATTGCCCCTTGTAGACAGTCTTCGATCTTACTCTGGGGTCAGCAAACCTTTTCTGTGAAGGGCCAGGTGGGAAAGGCATTGTGGCCATACAGCTTCTGTCGCTGTGGTGTGAAATCAGCCTCAGGCAATGTGTCAACTAACAGGTTGGTCGTGTTCCAATAAAACTTTATTTACAAAAACAGGCCATGTTCCAATAAAACTTTATTTACAAAAACAAAAACAGGGCCTGGGTTGGCCCATGGGCCATGATTTGACAACTGCCAATCACTTTTTCCAAACTCCAGAAAGGGCTGCGCAAGCCACCCTCACCGGCACAGGGTAGGCACATTATTTGTGGAGTGAGTGAGCAGTGAATGTGAGGGCCCTCATCTGCTTACACCCCACGGAGGGGGTACCCGCAGCGTCTGGCTGTTATCTCCGTTATCCGAGCACAGCTGGGATATTCTGCTGCCCTGGCTCTTGGAGTTTCTCAGCCTGATGATATAGGACTGAAAGGCGGGACTTTCTTCCTCAGCTCTGCTCCGCAGACAGGCTTGTTAAAGGGAACACAAAACAGCGAGGCCACGTAGGCACAGCCCCTGTCCCAGGAGGGTCCCCAAGCTGCTGCGTGTGGCCCCGCGCGCCGTCTCCGGATGGACAGTGGAGAGAAAGACCCCCTACACTTCCTGCCTGGCTGACCTCCTGCAGCGTCAGTGAGGAAGTCTGGGCTGGGACAGGGTCCATGAAAGGACCGAATCCTCCCAGACCAGCAGAGGGCTCGGGTGAGGATGGGTCCAGTTGTCCTGTGGATGAGGATGTTTCTCCTGAAGACATCACCACGAGAGCCCAGCTTACTCCACATCCGAATGCCCTGACGGGGAACGTGGTTTTCCAGTTTGCAGGAGGGAAATTTGCCCCTCCTGATTAACACGAACTTGGAAAATGTGGCCGAGAGAGCAGCCGGCACCGGGAGCTCTCCGGGCCGTGCAGGCGCAGCCTCCTGAGGACTCTCTGCCGCTGACCTTTCTAAACTAGAAATGTGCAGGGAAGAATTGTGAAGTTGGCTTTGGGTGTCAGAATGAGAAAAGCTGCAAATTCCGTGCTTCCAGGAAACCACCCCCAGCATCTCTGACTCAGGAAGTGGCAGCTTCTCTTATTCTGGGGTCTGTGGCATTGCTGTGGTTTGAAACCACTTTGTCATCTGCTCCTCACACCCCCTGACTCATCCAGCAGCCCCTGCAGACAAGGTCACCTCCACGCCCAGAGCGTCACTGCAGAACAGGCAGTGAGCGGAAGGAGGCGGTGAGGTGGGTGCGTGTTAGGCTGACTACCTGCACTGCGGCATTTCAGAAACTGAACCCAACCGAAGTCGATTTCTTGCTCACTGTGAAGGTTGGTGGGCAGGGCCAGGGTGGGCCGTGCTGCAGCCATTCAGCCACCCGGGGTGAGCGTCTCGGGACTGGCGAGGCTTACAAGTGGCATACGTCAATCGTGCCTACATGCCGCTGGACAAAGCCCAGTCACATGGCCACGTCTAATTGCAAGGGACATGGGGAACAAGTCCAACTCCATGTCCTGAAGGAGAGGGAAATATGGCTGGCGAATGGCTGGTCTCTGCCAAAGTGGGTTTCTAAAGATGAGATCAGCCTGTGTCCTTTCCTCCCTGATGAACCCACTGTCCCAAGGAGCCCCCGGCCACTGGAGCCCTGGGCGAGCAGTTCAGATGTAATTCGCCAACCAGGTCATTCTTTACCCTCTGCCCTGCTTCGGTTCGCCATAGTGCTTGGTGTGATCTGGCTGTATTTTCATTATTTATTCACCTACTTACTTCTCCTCTAAGAGGAGGCTTCCTAAAGGCAAGGATCTTGGCCATATCCCTAAGTGTTGTAAACAGCCCTTGGCATGCAGTGGGCACTATATTTGTTGAGGGAACGAGTGAGTGAGTGAGTAAGTGAGTGATAGACGTGATCTCAGCGGTGACTGTTGTGCTGGGCGCCCATCAGCTCACCCTGCAAAGTGACCCAGTAGCTGGAATTTGGCAGAAATGTTAGCACTGCCTGTCCTGGCTTTCAGAGTCCCTCCAAGTATCGATGTGGCTTACACAGGGGCATCCCCTTCAGCTTCCATCCGAAGGAAGGCGGGGGGTGGCATCCAAAGCAAGCTTGATGCCTAGGAAAGATAGACTTTTCATGAATGGAAAATGGAGTTTCTATTGTGGCTTCTGTAGATTTGTCTTTTCCAAATAGACTCCAGGTCATTACGTAAGAACTCAGTGCATGCACACACACATCCACATGCGCACACACGTGCATACTATATGCACACATCCACATGTGCACGCACGTGCAGACTACACACACATCCACATGTGCACACACGTGCAGACTATACACATGCACACACATGCATGCCATACACACACATCCACATGTGCACACACATGCATACTATACACACATGCACACACATGCATACTATACACACACAGCCACATGTGCACACACGTGCATACTATACACACATGCACACACCACCCTGCTTCACACACATATACATTCCTACACGTTCATGTTCCTGTTTGCCACCCCCCTCCCTCAACCCTCCCCTCTATCTTCCATTAAATTCTTATCTAGCACAGGCAGTGGTTTGGGGGGTGCTTTCCTGTCCCCGTTTCCATCTATAGGAAGCTGATGAGCTTCCTGGCAGTGTTGGAGGGGAGGCAGCTCCTGGAAGAAGCCCCAGTCGCAGAGACAGTGGTGAATACAGCCTGATGGGGAGCGGCAAGCTGAGCACAGAGCGCTTGAGGTTCAGCTGGGATCAG